AGCGAAATAAAACCCCAAAACTATTCCAAACTTATTTATGTCTAAAGATATTATCTCGTTTCCAAATATTTTTGTTTGTTTGTTTCTTTGTTGTTTGGTTGGGTTTTTTAAACGGGGGGATTTTGCACCGAAAAGCAAGGAAAACACCTTGTGCTGCAACCACTTTTTGCTTTCTATTTTTTTTTTAATGTGTGTTTGTGGTTTGGTTTTGAGTTTTTTGTTTTGTTGTTTTGTGGTGGGTTTTTTTTCCTCCCAGACATATCGAAAATGCTCGTCTCTTTCTCCCCGTGCGGGACACCATTTCACAAGGCGAGCTCTTTTTCTCCCTTTAATATTTTTGTTGCTGCTGTTGTTGTTATTATTGTTATTATTACTATTTTAACTATTATGACTATTATTCTAATTCCCCTTTATCGTTGCCCTTCCCTTCTTGTCCCTTCTGCGCCAGGAGCGAGGCGAAACTGGGGGCAAATGCGCTTTCCCTGGGGATGGAGGTGGCAGAACAGAGCTGGCGCTGGGACGGCCGCCTCTCCGCCGCTGGGCGATTCATGTCATGACTGGGCTCTTTTCCTTTTTAATTACGTTTTGTTCGCCGAGAAGCCGCCTCCCCAGCACCGGCTGTGCCCGGCCCGGGTGGGCAGCCTCCCACCGGCCTCTGCCTGCGGGGCGAGCCCGGAGCCTGCCGGTGAGCGTGTGTCCCGCAGGCAGCAATAAGGAAAGGGATAACGATCCCAGTGCAGCTAATGTCAGTACCCCAGCGCAGGTCGGGGGAAGGGAAAGAATAGAAAGAGCAGCTAAGTAGGGAAGGAGAGGAAAAAAAAAAAACCAACAACAAAAAAACCTAAGAAAATAAACCAGCAAAAAAAACCACCTCAGATTCACGGAGGCAAAAAAAGAAAAAAAATGAAAAGACATTGTAAAAATTCCCTTCAGACTTCGCTGCTCCCCAAGCCCGGCCCGTCCCCGAGACAGTAAGCTTGGAGGGGCCCTGCAGCTGAGAATCCAACCCCAAAGCGTAACCCCCGCGTTAGCTGCGTTCCTTCCCTCCTTCCCGCCACCATCCAGCCTCGCCCCCCCTTGCCCAGCCCCGGGTGACCCCCATTCTCCCCCCGCGGCCCCGAAGGAGAGAGGAAAGACCTACGCGCAGATCGTTTGGAGATTTCTCTTGTCGTCCAGGTCCTGCGGGTAGTTGGCCATGTTATCGCCCAGCCGCAGCAAACAATCCGAGAAGCCCCTAAAGACCGCATCGCACCGCCCCGCCGCTCTCACCGCCTGCACCAGGTACGCTGCGGGGGCAGGGGCACAGGTCAGCACCGCCGGCCCCCGCCCCCGGACCCCCGCCCCCGGCTCGCCTCTTCCCTTCTCCTCCCCCCGCCCGCCCCCAGCCCTGGCTAAAGGCGCGACCTGGGGCAGGAGAGGGGCGGTGGGACCGACACAGGCTCGCCATCGGCCACTCGAGGAGGTGAGGCAGGGGCTTTTCGCCCTTTCCTTTTTTAGTACGGAGGGTTCGGCGCTTGTGGATTAGCTGCGTTGATCTCATTAATATTTTTTTCCCCTTTCCCCCCCTTTTTTTATTTTGAGGGGAGAGGAGGAGGGGAGGTGAAGATGCGTTGCCTGCTTCCCCCCGGACTTGATCCTTTGTTAGAAAATTCCGCCTCGAAGCAGCAGGAGCGTTTCTCCGTACAAACGCAGGCGCACGCACACACTCCCTATTGCCCAGGTCGCTGGGCAAACATCGTGCAAGGCGCAGCGGGAAAAAAAGTTAAATTAAAAACAATAATTTTTAAAAAAAATCACTAGAAAGAGCTGAGATAGAGACACGCAAAGAAGGGACCGCGAATTCACGCAGACAGCTGCGGGGGCGCCGGCCCGGCCGTGTCTATGCTTGGGGCGGCGAGGCGGGACCGGGCCGGGGTGAGCCCCGTTCCCCCAAACCCGCTTCCCAGGCATCCCTAGGGACGGCTCTAATCCAGGGCATTCGGTTCAGTACAGCAGGAACCAACACAAGAGCAACCGCCTGCAAACGGGGAAAGAAAATGAGTTACGGGCTCCTCCTGCGTGCCCCGAGAGGGCACGGCACGGGATGGGACGCGGGACTCGCCACACGGCATCCCGCACACGCCCGCAGCCGCCCGGCGGGCAGGGGTACCCGGGCACGGCGAGGGGCTGGCTCCCAGCCGCTCTCCTGCCGTGACAGGAGCTGGGGACGCCGCGGTGTCCCTAGGCCTGGGGGATGTCGCTGCGGCCAGCGGGGGCGGGAAGGGGCTTCCCCCCTCCCTTGAGGAGGAGCGCCTTGCCGCCCACGCCGTCGGGTGGGGGTCCCCCCCTGCGCCGTGTCCCCAGGGAATGGCTGTGACGGGGGGTGTGTGTGTTTCCTTGCCAGGTACCGGTTACAAGCTAAATGGCTGACTCCAAAAGAGACTGTTTCAACCCAAATCCTCCTCTTGCCGTTTGATTCATCGCTACCATGAGTTGGTGGCCACTCCCCTCTACACACACACACACACACACACACACACACACACCAGCACCAGCCGTCACATCAAACCCCCAGCAGGCTCCAGACATTGGCTACGATAGGAAAAAAAAAAACCCAAGCAAACAAATAGAGAAGAACCGAAGACCATCCCGAGGGTAAAACTATGTCCTATAAAACCCGCGCCATCTCGCTACAGCAGCTACGGAGGAGGGGGAGTCGCCACGAATTTCTGCAGAAAATGTGCCGGGCTGTGCTGAAATTCCGGGGTTCCAAGAGGAGTCTTGCCCCGGGTTGTGGCCGGGGTGTGTATGTTGCGGGGGGGTTCACATTTGGGACCAGAGGTGAGCCGAGCATCTCTCGCCCCCGCGGGGCAGCCTGGCCCTGTCTGCCCGCGCAGCTGCTCCCGCACAGGGTATCCCCGGTCCAAAGCTGCCATAACCCCGTCAATAAATTAAAAAAAAAAAAAAAAAAAAAAAAAAAGGGGGAAAAGCAAAAGCGGATAAATACTGTTCCTGTCTGCTTCAAAGACAATGAGATTTCTCATGAACTAGGTCGCTTGTGCCTTTGCCGTTGCCACGACCTTCCACACCCCACACGCCCCATTTAAAGATAACAGTGTGCAGCAATGTGCAATGCAGCAGGACCGCAGGAGCCCTCCGTGATGGACCGGGCCCCCTCCCGAAACCCATTCCCCGTTCTCCCAGTCCTGCGACTGGTCCATCCCTCCTGTCCTTTCCGCGGAGACTTAGCTCACCCCACCCCCCACCTCGGTCACCTCCCAAAATGCCAGGGATTTCGGACAGCTCCAATCTCCTGTGCCTAAATAAATAAATAAATCAATAAATCCCCCTTCCCCCCCCCCC